TTGCAGTAATATTTCATTTAGTCTCCATCTATAAGTTCTAGCTTTCTTCTTGTATATTAGAGTCACTGGATTATGGTCAGAGAAAGTCTTTGGCAATATTTCAACTTTGTTAACACAAGTGGCCAAACTTTTGGAAATCCAAAACATGTCTATTCTGGAGAAAGATCTATGTCTCTCTGAAAAATAGGTATAGAATCACCTATTTTTATATCTCCATATGTCAGTCAATTCAAGATTATCCATCATTTTGAAGAATATTTTTGGTAGTTTGCCTTCCATCATTTTAATCCCTTTTGCTGATGTTTTATCTTGTTGTGGGCAGACTACTGCATTCCGATCTCCCATTAGGCACCAATTTTCATGTGACAGCTCCATTAATTTTCCCATAAGTCAAGTGAGAAATGCAGATTTATTTTTGTTCAGAGCATAAGGCTTTACTTTAATAAAAGTAAAAGGATTTTACTTTTATTAAAATTAATCTCCACTCCCACATATCTGCCTTGATTTTCAGATAATATCATTTTTGGTCGCAGTTGTGGATTTAAGTTTGTTTGTTTTTTGCTTAAAGCAGCTGAGATAAATTCTTCTCCCAGGTTTTTATAAATCAAGTATTTTTTATCTTTCTTTCTTACATGTGTTTCTTGTAAACAAATTACATCCAACTTTAATTTCTTCAAATAATGAAATATCTTCTTTCATTTCTGGGCGGCATTTGCCCCATTTATATTCCACATTAGGCATTTAAGTTCCATGTTTATTTCATAAATTTTGAAAAATCAATGCCTATGGCACCTAATATAGTGGTATCTTCCTTAGCTTCTTGGAGTGTTAACTGCGTAGCTCCTTTCATTTGCATCTCTTGTATCTCCTCCAGTTCAACCTTACATCTTTCCAAAAATTATCTTGCCTTTTGAACTGAATTAAGTCAAAATCTCTGCTGCTTAAAAGTCAAAATCACTCCTTCCAATTTATCCCACCTAAATGGTATCTTCTTCTGTTTTAATTTGTCAGTCAGGAAGGTGTAATCTTTTCTCTTATGCAGTATTCTAATAGGTATTTCTTTAAGTAGGATTACATCTGAATTACTATCTTTAACTTCATATTAAAATTTTGTTGTAGAATCTGGTCTCTTGTTCTCTTCTCAAATGCACTAATATGTCTCTTGGGACAGTTCTCAATTCGGCGTTTCTTGTATTAATTCTATAGACCTTATCCAATTCCGTTTCCATATCTTCTTCATCCCATTCCCAAAAAAAGTGTAAAAGCCTGAACTATCCTATACCTTGCATCTAAACCAGATTTTTCTGGGACTGCCCTCACCACAAGCAAAATTCCTTCTCTCTCAATTCTAACAGTGCTAAATTATCTAAATCTTTTTCTGTCTTTTGGCTTATTGCTTCAGTCTTAGTTTCCAAAATTTCTTTTTCTTTAATTTGTTGAACCTCACCTTTAATCTGTGTTGCTGATTCTTCAAATTCCTTATTCAGTTTTTCCTCCAAATTCACCAATTTTTCCTCTGTGGAGGCTGTCACTGCTGCTGTTACAGATGTTTTGTCAGTCTTCCTCATCTCCTCAAACATCCTATGGAAAATCTCAGGTGTAATCCCAGCTGGCTGATAAGTCAACGATCCTCTTCTTCCCTCTTTCATTGCTTTTCTAGTAGTAGCCATCTCTCTGTGTCTTAATTTGCAATCCAAATAAAAGAAAGGCCATCTTTAATCTATTTTTTTCCTTTTCATGCTTCTTAAATCTTGCACTTTTACAACAGTCCTTTAAAGCTTCTATGTTTCTATGCTCTTGCAGTCTCTGCACTTTTACAACAGTCCTTTATCTCTTTTAAGAAAGCCAACCAGTCATTCTCCTCAGTGAGCCATAACAAAATGCTTTCCTATGAAGGTATGTGCTATTTATTTACAGTAATTAATTCCCAGGAACTTAGGGTAAACAAAATCCAAAAAGATCCCCTGGACCCTTTATTTGCTTAAAACTTTTGTAAGCCAGATTTTTACTGTGCTTTTTGCTGCAAGTTAGGTTTTTTTTTTTTTACTCTTGTTCTTTTTCTATTTAATACATTATGGGCTATAGGAACACTCAACAGAAGGTCCAGTCAAACCACCACTCTGAAGATCTCTTTAACATTTTACTAGTTGTAATCCAAAGTGATTTAAGAAATGGGGTTTGGTCAGACCCAGTGTCCTTTAAAAGGCTTCACTGAGGCTGCGAGCCTGATCCTTTCCTTGACTCCTGGCTGCTCTTACTCACAAGCTGCCTACAGAATTCTTTCAGACCCTGCAGGCTTCCTCATGAGGAGTGGCCATCTGGAGCACACATGGGCGATCTCTTCATCTTCTCCCTTCTCTGGAGAAGCCCTGCAAGACCAGGTATCTCACCTGATCGTGATTCTAGCCTTGGCATCATCTCTGCACTTTCAGAGATATTCAGTCTGTCATTTTCCCCCACCAGTCAGATTCTCTCTTGGATTGATATAGCCATTTCTCATCAGGGGATTTTTTTTATTTTTCAACTTTTTAAGATGTGTGCTGAAGAACTATATACAGATAGTCCTCAACTTATGACCATTTGTTCAGCGACTGTTTGAAGTTATGATGGTGCTCAGCAAAGGGATTTATAACCAGTTCCCGAAGTTACAGCCATTGCAGTGCCCCCCCCCCCATGATCCCGTGATCAAAATTCAGGCGCTTGACAGCCTGCCTGCACTTACAACCACATGGGTGCTTCAACTCCCACCGATCTCCCCCCAATCTATGCCTTTTGGCCTCCTGCACTCCATGGCCCCTGCCACCCAGCTGACCTTTGCTGTCTCCTTCCTTCTACTGCATATGTGCAATCTGACCTCAGAAATATGCCAAAGTAATACAGGTAGTCTTTGGGTTATGACAGCAATTGGGACCAGAATTTCAGTCACTAAGCAATGCAGTTGTAAAGCACGTCACTTGACCACATCGCTTAGCATGGCAATTCCAGCAGTCCCAGTTGCTGTCATAACCTCAGGACCACACGGGTCACTAAGCAGGAAGAGGTGAGAGTCCCAGGCAAACAGGCCAGTGGGTGAGTATGCAGGTGCCCCGGGGGGGGGGTTGCCATGAGGGGGCAAGGGGTGATTTGAATGTTAGGAAAAAACCCTAACACTGAGAGCAGTTCAATAGTAGAATCAACCATTCACCGAAGTGATAGATTCCCCGGCATTAGATGTGCTCAAATGAAGGCTACCCTGGCCCTTCACAATGCAGCTGCTGGCCACAGGAGGCTTTTGTGAAGGGCCAGGGCAGGCCTGCCTCATCAGCA